AAAGGTCTCCAGATAATCAATCCCATATGTCTGTGTATAGCCTTTTGCAACCAGCCTAGCCTTGTACCTTTCAATGGTGCCATCAACATGATATTTGATGGTAAAAACCCACTTACAGCCTACTGGATCCTTCCCTTTAGGCAAATCAACCCACTTTCAATGTCCAAGGGCTTGGTTTGACAGGTTTAGACTTGCTCTAGAAAAATTTGGGTATATGCAAGCTCACTCAGACCACACACTTTTCATCAAGAGGGGTGGTTCCTCTCTAACACTCCTTGCTATATATGTAGATGATATTGTGGTAACAAGCAGTGATGCTGATGAGATTAATTCCCTTAAGCAATTACTTCACAAAGAGTTTGAGGTGAAAGATTTGAGTCATCTTCGATATTTTCTAGGGATTGAGGTGGCTAGATCTAAATGTGGTATTTTCATTTCTTAGAGGAAACACGTCCTTGACCTTTTGGAGGAAATAGGAAATTTGGGAGTTAAACTTGCAGATACTCCCATTGAATTGCATCATAAGTTAAGTGCAGAATAAGGTGAACCTCTTGATGACAAGACCATGTATCAATGGCTGGTTGGGAAACTTTTGTATCTTTGTCTGACTCGGCTTGACATTTCTTATGTTGTCAGTATTGTTAGTCAGTATATGCACTCTCCAAGAACCACTCATTTGTTGGCCATTGAGTAGATCCTAGCATATCTCAAGAGGTGTCTAGGTTGTGGAATACTCTTCAAGAATAATGGTCAAATGAAGATTGAGGTGTACACTGATGCGGATTGGGCTGGATGTGTAGATGATAGGAGATCTACCTCTGGGTACTGTGCCTTTGTTAGAGGAAATCTAGTTTCATGGTGAAGTAAGAAACAAAATGTAGTAGCTCGTTCAATTGCTAAAGCAGAATACAAATCTATGGCTCATGGAGTGGCAGAAGAAGTTCTATGGCTGAGATCCTTACTTGAAGAACTTGGAATTGAGCATGAGAAGCCCTTAATGCTGTATTGTGACAATCAAGCTGCTATTAATATTGTTCATAACCCAATACAACATGACACATTGAGCTGGATTGACACTTTATTAGGGAGAGAGTACCCTCCCAAGAAATGTGCTTGCCATATATTGCCTTTGATATGCAGCTTGCTGATCTCTTCACCAAAGCAGTCCCTAAAGTCATGATCGAAACAGATTTATGCAAGTTGGGAATGCTCAATATCTATTCCCAACTGAGGGGAAGTGTAGAGATGTAGACAGAGATACCTGGTTGGTTCTATATGTTTGTTAGGTGCAGAAATATGCTCCCCATCCTTATTTGTTTTGTTTCAGAGTGCTGTACTTATTTTTTCTCTGTCACAGTTGACAGGGGTATTTTTGTCATTGTGTCTTCTTTTTCTCAAGTAATATAAAAGCCAATGAAGGGAACGGCAGAACCAATTCATTCTGCTCTCTCTTTCTCTAATTCCTTCTTCTCCTCTCCCTTCTTTTTCTTTTCTTCTCTTGAACAGATCTCGAACTAACCTAGGACTGCTGCAGCTGTGTTTCAAGTGAATTCTGATGCTCAAAAAGCTAGGCTGGTGGCACCCAGGATATTATTTTTCTTACTGTAACAGCGGTTGTACATAGTGAGACATAAAAGGACTAAATTCCCTTGCAGCACTAACAACAGAATTACGACACATACTTGATATTGTGTTGTAGGGCTGGAAATTCTGGCCCATGACCATCTCTATTAAATTTGCATTCTTCATCTTCTATTCAAGTATTTGTTCATCTAGATAATTCCTCATGAAACAAATTAAAAAAAATTAAAACTGCAAATTGACATTAAAAAATCCTTAAGAAAATGTGCAACCTAACAAAATAAATAAATAAATAGCAGCAGCATACATAAAGGCAAAGATTTTTAATATTTGAACATATAAATACCTGCAAAAGCAATGTTCCATCATTGCATTTATCTGCTATACGTGTGCTTACATGGAAAGGATCTGTGAAATGGACAGCAACTGTCCTGTAATCAAGCTCACTTATTTCAGAACATTTGGATAAATTACTTAATGGAAACTGCATTTAGAAGTTAGGAGAACATGGAAAAGTTATTGCCTTTCAAATGTCTGGTTGCGAGATGTCCCAAATTCTAATTTCAGAGCTATTGTCCTCATTCCATCTAGATTACTCTGTGGATAAGGAATGACTGTTCATAAAACAAACAACAGCATAAATGAATCAAGAGTTGGATGTCACAAACAATATGCATATTAGAACTACAGTAAATTGGAAGCAATGCACTGACCTGAAGATGTCCCTCTTGCAAGCCTGTTATCAATAGCACAGACAGGAAACCACAGAACAGAAGTTATATTGCTCGCCCAGTCCGGCAACTCTATTTTCCCATCTTGGAGTTTTAATTGCTTAAAGTCTTCATAAACTGTAGAAGATTCCTTTCTGGAATCATGAGAGATCCCCATGGAAGAAGAGTCCTGAAAAATCTTAGTGTAGCTCTCCATCTCAATAACATGTGACTCTTCAATCTTTAGGCCTGGACCAGTATCTATATGCAAGACTGCATCCTTGAGGGAGTAGTTAATAGGCTTCACAAACAGTCCAACCCACTGAGGCTCATTCATTAGCAAAGCAGACGAAATAGCTGCAGAAATATCAACTAGAGGTCTTGGATTAAACACCTAGGAAAAAGAGGGGGTGGGGAACTTCATCAGATTCTCAAACAAATAAAATAATTTGGCTCAGCACGTCATGATAAAAGATACAATAAAGAATGACATGGATAAATCTAATATATCCAAAGCACTGAGAGGAACAGGTAAAACCTCATGCTGGAAGCAAATTATTTCTTCCCTATAACTAAAATTCTTCCATTACCATTTTCTTATTCCTATGTAAAATTAGACAAACTACCTTTAAGATAGGTCTTGCTGGCTTTTCGTAACTCATAAAATCATCACTGTCTGCAGGTCCACCTTTAGAAAAACTATGAGATCTAAATCTTAGGTGCCCAATCTGTCCAGTGAGAACCCCTAAGACATAAGATCCAGGTTTTTGTGGGGGTAGAGCAAGGGTGATGGTGTTCCTACCAGGCTTTAGTATGGTAGCAGCTGAGCTCCTTATTCCCTGAAACACCACAACAGATATTGACAAACTGAGGAAAAAGGAGGAAACAAATACGTTCTTTTCTCAAATGATAATTACTGTTAATCCAAAAGTATACCTTAACACCTTCATCAGCACTATATGTAGCTGTGAGAGTGAGACTAAGTGACTCAAGAGTTATATCATCTGGAAAGCCACTCCAGACTGTTACAGATAGTGTGCCTGGGTCTCCATCACATAATTCAAGTGGCGGACCAGGATTTCCAGAAAATGTTATTAATGATGATACATCTAGGGGAACAGGATCCTTCATTTCACTGTGTGCAAGTCGAACAAGCTCTGACTGAAAAGCTTGGCGTTCCTTAATTGAGAATAAACCTTTATCCAGTGATAGCAATCTTACACAAGAAGAGAGATACCCAGCTTGATCGTTAAGTATCTTTTGACACTCAGCCAGGTTGGGTAGAACTTCAGCCAATAGATCATGCCACCCTTCACCAGCATAGAGGGCACAAACTTTTTCATACGACTTTGCAGCTAGATCAAAGTTTCCATGTCTATAGCAAACAGCTGCAATCTCACCATCAAGCACAACTCCATGTCTTTTCCACCAAGAACGATGATAGTTATCAGCAGCACCTTTTGTCAGCTCCAAATATTTTTGCTGGCAAGAACACAACTAAAAGCATGAGAGAGAGAGAGAGGCTTAAAAGATGCAATCTCCAAAACATACAATAACACACTTTCAAAGAAATGTATACAACAAACTAGCAAATTACAAGGAAAAGACATGGAGATTCCCCATTTGCAATGAACAAAGAAAAGACTTCAAATAGTTAACTCAGGTTCCGTTTGGTGTGCCTTTCCGTGCGGTCTGTCGGCTATTTACAACTTACAAGCTCGGCAGACCGTGATGTGGTCTTTTCCCATTTGGTTCGCGGTAGATCTAGCCACCAAAAGCCAACGCGCCGAAAAGACGTGAGAAGCCGAAAACAGGCGATTTTCGGGAAGCTCCAAATAGAGCTTTTGCATTTTTTTCTGTTCATCTTTGCGCGGAAAGACACACCTTAACCAAATAGGCTTCAGACTGCTCAGATCTTAATGCAAAAGCTCAATGCGTCTTTTGACTGTCAGAGCTACAAGAAGATCTTCCCAAAAAGACTTGCCAAATGGCCCCTCAGTTACAGAAATTCTTACTTAAGACGGTGCAAATAGAGCAGAGTTACACTAAACAAGAAAAAATGCATATCTAATTCAAATGCATTATGTATAATAGCCAAGAGATAAGGTTTAACATGTATGCAGAGTGCCACTGGTTGGCTAAAAAGGCTTAAATGGTGAACATAAAAGCAGGAACCAGAGTATTGTGGAAAGACTTATGGTAACTAGATGCAAATTAAGAGTTCCTTCAAATAGTTTCATGCAATGGCTTAAAATATCAAAAATTTCATTTCTGAACCTGAAGTAATTTCAGAGCATTTTGTTTTTTCTTTGAAAAGGAAAGTGATATACTATGCAAAACGTATATATGTGTGTACAAGCATGCTTCTGTACAAATGAAGACCAGAATTGAAATGACGATCCAAGTCAAAATTCAAAAAAAAAAAATAGAGGGGAAAAATAGGCTATATTGACTTCCCTGAAATCCTTGTCCATAGATAGCTATTAATAGATTATACCCACCAGCTTCATCAAAACCCTCTCTACAAGAGGTTTTCTTTGGAGGGGATGGAAAGATGAAACAGTGTTTCAAACCCAACCTGGAGATCAACCTGTTATCCCCTCTGGGTTAGGGTTAGATGGTTCAACTGTCCAGGTCAAATGGTTCAACCCACAAATATGTGGCAAATGTTAGAATTCAACTGTCATTTTATGATCTGAAGGTCCTAGATTAAGGAGCACAAGCATATGTCTTTATTACATGCACTAGAAAGCAAATACTTGTCAAAAAGAAAAAAACAGATTATGGAAGAAAAAGAAGACAAAGGCGGCTGGCAACAACTTATTAGAAATACCTCAATCACCAGCTGGTAAAGAGGCATAACAGGTTGGTCTACTTTACCCCACTCTCTCTCCCTCCACAATGACAGCTACAGTAGCATTCATCCATTCAGCTGCCCATTGTCATCACCATGTCACACTCTCTCTCCACCTACCTCTATTCTCAAATTGATATCCCTCCCTCTCTATTTTCACAGCAAGTTGAAAACACTGAGATGAACACAAGTTTCATCTTGTTGGCAGGCATCTAATCTGCTTGCCAAAAACAGTTAAGAGGGTTGGGAATTAAAAACTTGATCTTTTATTTCTTTATCAGAAACGGGTCGCTTTGGTGTTACAAAATTTCCCCAAAGTCACCTCCCCTGTCCCCAATATAGACCCTCTCTGCTTGTTCCTTGTCTTGCCAACCTGTCCACCAATCCATTTGCCATGTGTCCATGTGAAAAGTTAAATTTATCTCCTTAGCCAACCTTTTTTCTATCTCCTTATTATATAATTTATAATTGTATATGCCTATGGTCCAACACTTTTTTCCACCATCCCACCACCATTTTAGAGTCCCTTCCCACCACTGTATTTGTATAGTATGATGACTTTACCAACCTTAAGCCTTGTAAAACAGCCATTAATTCTGCCTTAGTGGAGTTGTCCACTCCAATGGGACCTGAAAACATTGCTAATACATTGCATTCAGTGTCTTCAAAACATTCCTATGCAAGATGCCCCTGGAATTCCCAGGCTGGTCTTCAAAATTCATCTTGATCAAGTTTGGATGGAGGGGTCAATTTTTTATGGTTATCATTCTATTTGATGAAGAATCAGCCACTATTTGCCAATTCCATATGATACTGTTGGTGGAAAATAGCCATAACGCTTCCTAAGTTTTCACCCAATGAGCAACCTTGAATGGCAATGTTCTCGTTGAGTGCATCCTTTGATTGATTTTTGTCCTTGAAAACTCTGTTGCTTATTTCCTCCCTGATGACAAAAAAAAAAAAAAAAAAAAAAAAAAAAAAAAAAAAAAAAAAAAAAACACAAATGCAACATACAAAATGGCAGAAGGT